TATTTTAAGCATTGCTTTGAGTGTGAGGTTGGTCAAAGTAGTGCTGGTGGTGGAAGAGCAAAGAACTTAAGCCTCTCCACATGAAATGTTGCTTCATTTTCCAGCTACTTCCTACTCAAGGAAATATTGTTTGCAGATGGTGCAGTTACAAAACAGTCATAAACCACCCCGTTATTATCCAGATGGATTTATTACTGCAGAGAAATCTTTGCTATCTCATTTTGGGAATGAGGTTTGCTCTCCCCACTGACATGTGGAATGATTCTGCTCAAAATCCATCCAGTGGCAAGATGTAAATACTCAACATCTGTAACCCTGACAGATGGGTTTGCTGTTGTTTTCTTTAAATCCCAACTCGGGCTAGGCAAGGTGGACAGAAATGCCTGGTCAGATATGGAGAGACTTCATTCCTTGCAGGAAAAGCAGTTGCCGTGGCAGAGAGCAGCTTTGGTGTGAGGTATGTCACCTCTGTCCCATCACACCTCTGGGAGATGGAATTTCAGAAGGAAGGGGAGTTGCTGCAGATCCCTGCCTGTGGCTTCTTTGCTCACCTGCTGGCACGAGTTGGTTCATCTGCTACCTAGAGCAGCTGATGGAGGAAAATCCCAGAGGTAACTAAGGAATTTGGAAGAAATAATAGAGGATATGGATGTAATACCATGAGACAGACCAGAGCTACCTGGAAATCCTGGGAAAGAGCCCCTCCATCTCATAGTGTGGCCGTGCCTGAATGATGCCAGCACCTGGCTGTGGCTTCCCTTGAGGCCACCTCTGAAGACATTCATTTCTGGGCTCCCATAAGCCTGCTTCAAAAGCTGGGCTGGGTCCAAAAGGTGACTCTATATTGAAGCCAGCTGGGTCATGTCTCACAGGTGAGATGAATTTCTTCCTGGCCACTGTAGTGGAGGAAACAAAAATTATCCCAGAGAACATTGACTCCAAAAGGGCAATCCACTTCTTTTCCACCCAAAGCAGGGGTCAGGCAAGCAGCAGTAACACAGGATTAGAGCTCCAGGCTGGGTCCTGTGTCTCCAGCAGGTTATTTCTAAGCCTCCCAGGTCTTCCTGCCCTGGTTATGCTCTCATACATTTCCAAACTTTCTCGGCTGGCAGCAGAGCATTTGAAACAGCATCCATGGAAATTATGGTCTTGCTTTGCTGCCCACACTTGGATGACAGCTGGCTCTGGCTGGAGCTTACCCATTGCTCTTTAAGACTAGTGGCCTGCATTTAGCCATATTTCACTTATCAAAATTAGGTGAAGCATAACTCTTTCCACAAACAGTCATTGGTTTTGTTAAGACCTGCTCAGCGATTTCACCTTTTCCTTTAATTCAGCTTTTCAATTAATTTTTTTTTTTTTTTTTAGAGAATACTGCCTGGTTATTTATGTGTGCACAGACCATATTTGTGTGGGTTTGGTGCTGATCAGCTGCGTGTGTGTTTACAATAGCCCTTGTGTTATCCCAGCCGGCAGCCTGAAAACACTTCCAAATTATTCCACATCAGAAGCGAAGAGGGTTTGGATAGACTCCTAGGGGAAAGTCTTGAAATGGTGCCCAAACCTCAGTCCCAGTGCTGTAAGTCAGGCACGTGGCTGATATTTTATCCACCCCAGCTTGGACTTTGACAGGCTGTTTTGTTTGTGGAGGAAACGGGAACTTGGGAGCAATTTTAATCAGAGATTTCTTGGAGATGGGCTTCCTCCTTTCCTTCGTCCTGTTCTGCCCTCTCTTGACACAAGTGCTTGCACTCTGCCCGTGTTCTCTAAGAAATGATGGAAAATAAGGGCACAGAAGCCCGAGGGCCAGGCTGGACTGAAACAAACCCCTGGGTGGAGGGGGCCTGACCTGGGTCGTGCCTTTGGAGAGGTGCTGGGTTTGTGTACGAAACACTTGGGTGACTGTACGTGGATGAGCAGCAGGAGTTTAGGGTCACTAGGGTTTGGTGTTTGCTGCTAACCTCAAAGCAGGCTGGGAAGTTCAGACCTAAATGGTGCTGTAATAAAAACCTGGAAATAGTCCAGAAAATCCTAAACCAGTTTGGGTTTGAAGGGACCTTAAAGACCATCTCTTTCCAACCCCCTGCCAAGGGCAGGAACACCTTCCACTAGACCAGGTTGCTCAGTGTGGAAAAAAAAGAAGTATTGTCTCAAAACCAAACTCCTACAATGTGAGTTCAGTTCTAGAATTCTTTGCTTTTTAGCTGGACTAAATATGACATTGTTTTCCAAATATATTGGCATTACTGTGGCTTGGAAACTCAATAACTGAGCCAGCTCTGGTCTTGGACCTTGAGTTACTCATATAATAGTACACTTTACTATTGGAGTAAAGATCACTTTCTAAAAATGTAATTTAAAACTGGCACACACATTGATTTAGGAATGCAAAATGATTTTGTTATTATCTCATCTCAAAACCTTTCCTTGATCATCTGCAACTCTGAATTGCAAAATGTATTACAGAAACACAGCTGTTGTGTCTTATAATGTGAGGTAAGATGTTCCATGGCGGTTGTTTGTCTCAAAACAAATTTACAAATCCAGAGCAATGTGGCTGTCCCTGGATCCCTGGAAGTGTCCAAGGCCAGGTTGGACGGGGCTTGGAGCAACCTGGGCTAGTGGAAGGTGTCCCTGCCCATGGCAGGGGGTGGAACGGGATGGGCTTTAAGGTCCCTTCCAGCCCAAACCAGTCTGGGATTCTGTGACTAACAGATGTCTCTCTCTCATAGAGTTTGGTAACTCCTTGAGTTGAACACCTTACAGAGGTTGTGCTCTGAGACTTAGAGAAGGACCTAAACTTCTTCTCCTTAAGGTGGTGCAGCAGTTCAGAGATCAAAAATGCATGATGGTGATCCAAATCTTTGACTCCAGGATTTGGAGCTTTCAGCTTCAGAGCTTTCCTCTGCAACTTTATAAGAGAAATTCAGGGACCTGGTAACACAGAGTGACCTTACAGAGAAGAGCAATAATCGCTCTGGAACCTGGGCCAGTCCATTCCCTCATTAGGACAAGGAAGCTTTTATCTCTCCTGCAGTAATGATGCATTTTTAAAGCGTTTCACACCTACTTTCAATCTCAGTAAAGACCATGAAACTTCTTTGGCTGTGGCCACACGGTATCTGTTGTTAAACAGACTGTTAAAATTAATCAACCCAGGTTAAGCAGCCAAAATTACCACTTGCCATCTCTGGCCCGAGTCTGCTCCCTCAGAGACAGCCCTGTAAGAGGCTGAACGCTGATTAAATGCTTCTCTGCCAAGTGCAGTCCGAAAACATTTTGGCAAGAACTGCCTGTACAAAGCACAGAAAAAAATGTACAGGATGTAAAAGGCTCAGTGTGTCAGCCTGCTTGAATCCAAACCATCCCCTGCCACAAACCCCTGCGTTAGCAAACATCCCATCTGCCTGATGAGAGCTTCTGTACCCTGGCCCCAAATTTCCATGTTCCATCCCCAGGGTTGTTATGTCGTGAGTTCATTATTGCTGCTGGCTGAAATTCACACTCCAGTCCACAGTGCTATCAGCAAAAGACATTTAAAAAAAAAAAGTAAAAATTAGTAATAGCCTTGATTTTACTCAGAGTACAGACTGGAGGCTTAAACTCTTCTTTGGAGGAAGTCCTGCTGCATCCAGGGCAGGAAGGAAGGGAAGGAAGCTCAGCCCACATGCCCTCACATGCAGTTGTTGGCAGTGAAGGGCAGAAGGATGAGGAGCTTGTGAACTGTCCCACTGGGCTATTAAACAGAAGCATCTGGACCACTTCTAGAAGATCTGTTTGACCCCTGGGCAGGCTGGATCCTTGAGTCAAAGGGTGCTGCCTTGTGCCAGCTGAGCATGGGAAGGTTTAGATTGGATATTAGGGAAAATTTCTTCAGGGAAAGGGTGTTCAGGCACTGGCACAGGCTGCCCAGGGCAGTGGTGGAGTCACTGTCCCTGGAAGTGTTGAAAAAGTGTGTGGGTGTGGCACTTGAGAACATGGTGGTGGTGCTGGGTTGATGTTGGACCTGATGATCATAAAGGTCTTTCCCAACCTTAACAATTCCATGATTCTATGCACAACCTCTTTCCTCCTCTCCTTTCCCCTCGTCCTCCCTCTCCCCCTCTCTGAAAAAACGTCAGCAAGTCTGAAGGCAGCAGTCACGCTCATCCACAGTGATGGAATTTAGTCTCCTGGTAATTAGGGATGGAAAATCACAACATTGGCAATGTTTTCACTTGAACAGAAGGGCATTCCTGCCAAGACTTGGATTGTCTTGGAGTAAGAAAAGTGCAATCAGGATCACAGGATGCTGAGCTGGGAATCTGGGGGGCCAGATCCCATGGTTGGAGAAGGTGGTTACAGTGCCACTGACTTCAGCAGAGCTCTGGTTTGTGTCAGCTGGGATCCTGAGGAGCTCTGCTGGGCGGAGACTTGCCTTTCAAAACACAGCAGATGATGTCTAAAACCTGTTTAATATCATGTACAGTTCCCCTGCGCTGGCTCTGGGTAGTCTGGCCCCTCAGCTCAAATGACGTCTGGTGTCAGCAGTTGCTTTTGACTGTTTTGTGGTTTTCTTAAAGGCAAATAACTTCCATGCAGGACTAATGGGGGAGCTCCCATCTCAGCTGCTGGATGTGTGCCGAAGAAATAGAGTGAAACACAGAAGTGGTCACAGACTATAGACCTGCACCTATACAAGACTTGGAATTTTGCATCTGTAGTGATTTTCTTCTTTTTTTTCCCAAAGAATCATAGAATCAGCTGGGTTGGAAAAGACCTCTGAGATCATCAAGTCCAACCCTTGATCCAACCCCGCCATGGTTCCCAGCCTATGGCACTGATGCCACATCCACTCTCACCTTCAACACCTCCAGGGATGCTGATTCCACCCCCTCCCTGGGCAGCCCATTCCAAGGTCTGATCACTCTCTCCATAAAAAAGTTCTTCCTAATATCCAACCTAAACTTCCCCTGCAGAGCTTAAGACTGAGCCCTCTTGTCCTTTTTTTTTCCCCACAGTAAAAACTTGTCCAGAGGCTGAACTGAGAGGGCTGTGAAGCCACCAACTCTGGCTGCTCCTGCCACCAGCTCTGCCCGACCACAGCACTCTCACCAGCTCACCCAGCACAGGGGATCGAAGGGACCCAGTGCCAAAACCCAGGAGAGTTCTTCACTGGGACCTGCCCTGGAGTAATTTCTTTGGGTAGGTGATGATTTGTGCTGCAAACACTGCATTGGAACAGGGCCCGCGAGCGACGGTGCCCCTGGGGCGCCGTGGCTGGAGAGGGGCAGGGGTTGCTCTGCTTTAGGCTGTGTCCCCTTGTTTAGCTGAATCTGGGCAACTTGTGTGCCAGGCTTGCAATTTGGGGTTGCACCTGACCTGAGAACTTATCTGTTTGCCTGGGTTTGTCTGTCACAGCTCCAGTAACCACTGGGAAGGGCGCTGCAGATGTGCAGCAACCCTCTGGCTCTCCAAGGGGAGTCTCCATCCTTTGACTGGAATTCTTTGGCTTGGAAAATTAATTTGAAAAATCCATTCGAGTGCACTGTTGGGAGTCATCCTAAATAAAATGGGACTGGCTTGGCGTGAAGGTGAGAGATGAGTTTCACATGGGGCTTTGCCTCCTTTCCACTGCTCTGGCGTTGCTGTCCTGGCCGTGAAGCTGCTGTGGTTGTGTGGGAAAGGCTTTAAGGAAAAGTGAGGAAAAAAAACAGGGGGAAAAAAAGGAAAAGGATAGAAGCTGTTCTTCTGTACGTGTCACCTGGTAGAAGAGCGTGGAAAACCCTTCCCCTGACAGCCAGTATTGACCCCACTTAAAGAAAAATATCTCTCTGTTCAGCAAATTTGGACAAGGGCCTGGAGTGACAGGATAAGGAGGAATGGCTTCCCACTGCCAGGGGGCAGGATTAGATGGGATATTGGGAAGAAATCCTTCCCTGTGAGGGTGGTGAGGCCATGGCACAGGTTGCCCAGAGCAGCTGTGGCTGCCCCATCCCTGGAAGTGTCCAAGACCGGGTTGGACAGGGCTTGGAGCAACCTGGGCTAGTGGAAGGTGTCCCTGCCCATGGCAGGGGTGTGGAACAAGATGAGCTTTAAGTTCCCTTCCAACCCAGGCTGTTCGGGGATTCTAAACTCCCTGAGAACCTATTCTAACTTTTTGTCTGATCTGTTTGATCTCAGGACATCTGAAGGCTCAGTTTTTCCCTACCATCATCTTTTGGCAGGAAAAAGCAGTGTTGGAGCCCAAGGAGACCTCTCCGTGGTGGGGCCATCCAGCAGGTCATTGCAGCTGGAGCCAGGGCAGCATTTGGTTCTCTGCCCACTTGGCATTGCCCTCCCCAAACCCAGGGCTCATTGTTGGCTGTGCAGGGGGACTGGGAGACTCCAAGAGCCCGCATGCCAACCCAGGGGGCCTGGCCAGAAATTCCTGGCAGTCTCCAAGGTTGATTTGCATTTCTTTTGGTCCCACCAGCCCACCTTAAGGAGCAGTTCTGCCTCGCCTTTGATTTCTTTCCAGGATGCCCAATTTTGGGAGGTTGTAAAGAGACAGAAAGTCTGTAAAGTTTACTAAAGAGGAAAACATTGAATAAAACCCCAAACCATTGCATTTTCTTTGGTGCTCTGGAAATGCTCCCAGTGTTCCCTGGTGTGAACAAGCAAGGGTGGGTTTGCAAACCCTGTGGCACCTGATGCCATGTTCCCTTCTAACTCCTGATTTTACGAACACAACTTCAGTCCAGGTTGAATATCCCAGCAGAGCTATTGCCTTATAAATAGAGAGGTAATTCATATGTTCCAGCTCTCTGCAGCTGAATTTAGGTAATTATTGAGCAGAGACTCTGCTCTGCAGTCCCACGGCACGGCTGTGACCCACGCTTGGGTAACTCCCCAAAGGAGGAGGAGGTAAATAGAGACAGAACAGGTGCTTGGTAACAGATATCCTGATTTTCCAGATAAATGCCAGTCCTCTCTTTGTCTTCCAAGTTCTGTCTCACTATTTTATATACTTCAGAGTCACTTTGCTGGTTGCATGTCATTACATCTATTTTATGGTGTTGTTTTTATCTGTTAAAAATAGGGGGGTTTAAAAGCAAATTTTCCTTTGCTGCACTTCACCTTATAAAAGAACTTGTTGCCAAGTGTTTGAAACTTTGTGTCAATCACCAGTATTTTCTACATATGAAATGGAGAATAATTTGAATTCAAATGTGGCTTCAAAACTTAGAGTTTGGGGTTTTTCCCCCAGGGTTTGAAATAGATATAATTTTAAGAGTCTGTTTTGTATGTATCAATGTCAAAATTAATTTTAACTACAGTTATTTTTTTCTTTAAGTAGAAAGTTGAAATTATTGATAATGAGACTTTTGGACAACTTGACTTGAAAAGCTGATGCTTTGAAAGCTGTGAAATAATTGAGAAATGCTGTCAATTTTTTTTCAGATGATTAGTTAAAAAATAATCATGATTCTGGAAGGAGCTTATTTATCCATGCTTCACATCATTTTTTTCCACTAGAGCATTGTATTGCCAGTGGTGATGGAAACCCATCTCAGAGCTCTTTTCCTGGACCTTGTTCCATACAGGACTTGCTTCTGGAAGTACTGTCACATGTAAGCAAAGCCCATGGCTCTTATAACTCACTTGGCATGAGCCAACCTTGCATTTCCTAAGCAGGCTTATCCCATACTAGTTTCAAAGCTGAAAGGCAAACAAAGAGGATTAGACCAAACTAGTTCCAGAGCACATGTTGTACATACTAATGTCTTGTTGAAACAGGAGAAGGCTGAAAAAAAGACTACCCCTGCTTTAATGAGGATGCAGGCTTGCTTCCTGAATCCCTGCCTGCTTTGCCAATCAGATAGAGGGGATTCTGCATCACTAAAGGAGCCAAGCTAATGAGATTAGGGTTTATCACTTCAAAAAATAAAACTGTACCACTGGAAGAATAAGATTTTACAGGAATTGTGCTAAAGCCTCAGTATGGTCGCTGGGCTTTCCTTCTGAGGTTGTTTAGGGGAAAGCACTGAGCCTTGCAAGTGTTTCCACATAGATGGCTCTGCATCTCCATGCAAAAATAGCCTTGAGGCACTTTATTTCCTGAGTTTCATCTCAGCTAATCAGTAGCCTGAGCAAAGTTGGTCAGATTTCAAATGTGCCATGTCACAGCTCTGGTTTTGACCCAGCTGCCTTCGCTGTGCCTGCTGTGCAACAGGAAACGGACAATACTTGGGATTGTCCCCAAATGCTGCCACCTCAGTGTGCTGCCAGACGTGGGGCAGCAGGAACAGGCCTGCTGCAAGCGGAGGAGAAAACCTCTGGAGCAGCAGAGGGAAGAAAACCTTCCCAGTGTTTATCTTTCAGAGGAAAACCTCTCCAGAAGTGCTCTTGACTGAGGGATCTGTAAGAGCAGCTGTGGCATCCCCACCTCTGTCATCTCCCACCCTCCAGGCAGGGGCTGCCCCACTGTGTGGCAGCAGCACTGGGACCTCGGGCTGGTTTAAAGGATAGGAAGTGCTTTTCCAGCTTTGTGTCTGTTTTCTGGTGGGTTTTAAAAGTAGTTTTACAGTGGTGGCACTTCTATCTTTGTCCCTTGTAAAATCCCCTGCTATCCAGAGGAAACAGTGCTGCTGGAGAGAGAAAGGTATCCTGGAATCATGGAATATCCTGAACTAGAAGGGACCCACAGGGACCGTCAAGTCCAACTCCTGGCCCTGCCCAGGACACCCCAACACTCCCACTATGTCCCTGAGGGTGTTGTCCAAACGCTCCTGGAGCTCTGGCAGCCTTGGGGTCGTGACCAAACCCTGGGGAGCCTGGTCAGTGCCAACCACCCTCTGGGGGAAGAACCTGATATCCAGCCTAACCCCCCTGACACAGCTCCAGGCATTCCCTCGGGTCCTGTCACTGCTCACAGAGAGCAGAGGTCAGTGCTGCCCCTCGTGAGGTAGCAGAGGGGCTGCCTCAGCAGCCCTGAAACTCCTGTCCCAGTGGGGAACAGCACATGTCAGCCTGAGGAGCCTCCATGCTGGGCTTCCTGTGGGAAGATTTAGCCCTCTCGGCTTGGTTTCCCTGTTGGCAGACTAAAGGTCTGGCTTATGGGGCCGGGGTTACAGCAGCAAGCTGAGCTTAACCTTTTGCACCTTTCAGCCCTTCTCTCCCTTGTTATGCTTTTCATCAGCAGGAAAAACATTTGCAAGAGGGCATCAGGCAAAAGGTGGATTGTCTGAGCTCTGACTCAGGCCACGGAAACTGGGCTGGCTCTCAGGACCACCAAAGTCAGAAGTCCCACCCTCTCCCCGGGCTCTGCTGCGCTGGCTCCTCGCTGGGCCTCAAGGACATGCAGGTTGCAGTGAAGTTCCTGATGTTTATGGACTTTTGACTCAGTTATTTTTGGAAAAAGTCAGCTATGCCTTGGCATCCTGCCTAATCACTGCTTCTGGAACATGGGTAATTCACTCTCTTTGGGGAATTCAGGGGCTTCCCCCTCATTCATCCAATTTTTCCCTGCAGAGCTAACGGTGGTGCCAGTTTTCCATTAGGAAGCCAATACTAATTCCCCCGTCTTGCTTTATCCAAACAAACACGGTGTGCCACATTCCTCCTGTCTGCTGTTCTGGTGGAGAAGTCCCAGAAAAGCCGAAGTGTGACGTGAAAAGAAGCAAGACAGGAGAGAGGGGAAAGGCTGGAGGGTCTTGTGCTTGGGGAAGAGCACAATGGTTCTGGGGCAAATACCTGGTGGTGTCAGTCCTGCTGCTCCCTAGGGTGGCACTTTGAGTGCAAATGCTCTAGAGAAGCCCTTGGAAATTCCTTTTGGGGTTCAGTGTTACTTCAAATAATTTCATTTAATTTTATTTAATTTGCAGTGTGCTAAAGCTAAGCCATGAAGCCCCAGGAGTCAGCTTCCTCTTGGGGGACTACCCTGGTCTCCCCACCCCTAGGGCACAACTAGTGTTTAAAATCCTAGAATTTTAAATATGAATGTGTGGAGGTTCTTCCTTTTCAGTTCACAGCTTTTAAAGAGGCAGTTTCAGAAGATTTATTCCCTCCTTCTTTAACAGAGGAAACCAGGCTTCTCACCTACAACACAGGAACAGAAGGT